ACATTGATGCAATTACATATATATACATATTGTATAAACATATATACATATATACCATATACCATATACATATACAATGTTTATATGTATGTGAGCATATGTATATTATGTATATGTGTGTGAGAAATATTTATGCACGAAAGAGAGTGAATGGCAGAGGGCGTGCGAATCGTGCCTCAAATTGGGTGCGGATGTTGAGTAAAGGAAATTATATTGCAAAGGGAAAATGTAGTGAAAGCCAAATGTGCAAGTGTGCGCAAACGAAAGATTTGATCGATGCCGCTATTTGAATGCTGCAAGTGGCAGAATGCTGGCTGCAACGAACCGAACGCAACTCAACTGAACTGAACTGAGATGTGTGCGGAACTGAACCGAACTGGGCGGATGCAGGATGCGTCAGTTGCGACCGCAGCGTTTTGTTGTTGTACCACAGATGTTGCCTTACTGCTGTCGTTGTTGTTGTTGTTGTTGTTGTTGCTGCTGCTTTTACTGTTCTTGCAACGAACATGACCAACGCAATTTGTAGCAGCCACATTCGCTGCTTGGCACGAAAGCACAAACGAACTTACGAAAATGCTCGGCGTTTAGCGGGGGGGGGGGGRGGGTGATAGGTGGAGGATTGGGCGGATTTTTCAAGATGCTGTTGGGGTAAGGCAAACTGAATTCAGTTAAATTCGACGGAATGAAGTGGAATGGACTGATGATTTTTCTATTGCGCCTTTGTTGTTACTTGCTGTATGTGTGTGTGTACGCATATGTATGTGTGTTTTCGAGTGTATCAAAGTAGTTGTTGTTGTTGTCTATTTTGTCATGGGCTTCGCGTGGCAAGTTGTTGTTGGTGGCAGTGCTGCTGCGACGGCTGCTTACTGGGTCACTAGGACTCTCACTCGATGTCCTTGCAATACGCTGCAACATACAAGCGACCGTTTGTATGTGTGTATGTGTGCGCCTATATACCCATGTTTCTATATATTTTTATACGTGTATGTATAAGCTTGTAACGCCTTATGTACATTTCTTTATGTGTAAATAAACATATGCATGTATACATATTAAATATATATATATATATATATATATATATATGTATGAATACTCACTATACTCACTTGTTTAGCTGTATTGTATATAGCATAAGTCACATGCCTGTCTCTTATACACATCTAGATGTGTATAAGAGACAGATGTATGTTAGTAAATATTAAAATTTTTTCGCAAAAGTACATGTGTACTCGTATATAAATATATACATATACATGTGGGCGCATAAGTAATCTCAGTTCATTTTAGTTTCACATTTATTTCATTTCATTTGTGGGGATTCTTCTACTTTTATACCGTGCACAGCGTGTATTAAATTCTTCGTGAAATTTCTAACTCTCGTAAGGAAATGTTGGGGTCTTCTGAAAAATATGTAAATATGGTTTTGAGATATCGATAGGTTTGCACACCTCTTTTTCTTGCCAAGAAACTGCTAATTTGTCAGAGCCAACCACATCCGACCACTATAGCATGTGGCTACCATAACAACTGAACGATTAAAGTCAAGTTCTTGTATGAAAAAGTTTTTTACTTGACGCGATATTTACACAAAATTCGGCATGAATCATTGTACAACGTAATGCTAAAATCTCCGAACAATATGTTCAAATCGAACCACTATAGCATATAGCTGTCATACAAACTGGTAGCTCAAAACCAAGCTCTGGTATGAAAAACTTTTTTATTTGACAAGATATCTACACAAAATTCAGCACAGTTCATTATCGAAGCCGACGGTACAATCTCCCAATAAATGGTTCAAATGAGATAACTATAGCATATAGCTGCCATACAAACTAACCTATTAAATGAAATTCTTGCATGAAAAACTTTTTTATTTGATAGGTATCTACACGAAACTTGGCGCAGAGCATTGTCCAAGCTGGCGGTATAATCTCCGAATAAATGGTTCAAATCAGATAACTATAGCATATAGCTATCATACAAACTGAACGACCAAAGTCCAGCTCTTGTACGGAAAACTTTTTTATTATATAGTATAGGGTATTCTAGCTGTAGTGCAACCGAAATGAACGCTCTTTCTTGTTTTTTGTTTTTTCTTTTAAATACACATGTGTTTATTGTTGTTGCTGCCACAAAATGCTTCACTTTAGTGCTTCGATGCACCCGCACTGCGGCGCTGCAGCATCAATGTTGCGAATTTGTTTGATTAAAATCTACCAAAATATATTCGCGCATACATACATACATATGTATATGTGCACACATGCATACTATGCAGTCTAGAAATATTTTGAGTCGCAAGTATTTCCTTATAGACATTTCCCAGCAAGGAATTTAATTCAAATCCTTTACTTCTTGCTATATGCTGGCGAAGTATTTACATATATACAAACATATAGGCATATAGATGTGTGTGTGCATATGTTTTTGCAATTTCAACGCTGTCAAACACACACTAATCTGGCAATTTTCAGCGTCCATTGTTCGAGCAGCGCCTTTGTAGCAACTTCAGTGCAACGTGTTTATCTTGTTAGATGTGATTATGGCATACCTGCATATATACACATGTATGTATGTGTAATTTTATATGTATGTACACACATTTGTATATGCTCATACTCGCCACACTGCACATGCGTTTCATTGTGTACGTAGGTGGATGTGTGTGTGTGTGTGTTGTGCGGCAAAGTATATGCAATCCTTTAATTATCCTTTAACTGTGGCGCTTTCGCTTGCAGTCCGCCTGCATTGGACACTTGCATTGCTCTAATCACAAAATCTGCAAATATTAACTATGTATAAACCACTTGCCGTGAGTTGTTGTATTTGCCATAACGGTACGGGTATTTGTAGTTGGATGCAGATAAGGCACAATTTGTGGCGTTTAGCGGTGTAATGTACTTGAGCACTTGTGTGGAATTCTTCGCGAATATTTTTGCGCAGTAATCCACTTTGAAGAGTAAGGCTTCACTTTAATAAATCTTTAATAAATATAACGGCACTTCGCAACTGTTTTGTATGATGCCATAACGGTCATAATATTCTTAGGGAAAAAAGACTGGGTCCAAAATTTCAGATCAATTTCAATCAAAAAATGTACGGAGAAATGGAAATAATGCTTGGCTAAATCGACTCAGCTAGTCACGCTGACTATTTACATTTTTAAAGAAAAAACACATACAATTCAAATTTATTGGGGAATGTTTATCTTCATTTGAAAGGACATTCTTTGGCATTTATTCCTTGAAAATTATCTCCTTCAAATGTTGGCTCGAGCATTTCGACTGGTAATTGACGAATGACACGCGTAATGATTTGTTCCAAAGACTGAATCGAAGCGTGATTATCCGCGTAAACATTTTATTCTTTACACGTCCTCACTGGAAAAAGTCTAACGGTGTGATATCACACTGCCATTTTACACAGAAACCGGGCCAAAACGTGGAATTATCTGCTCACCGATATATTCTCTCAATAAATCATTTCATTGAATCGATTTGTGGGAAGTGGCACCGTCTTGTTGAAGCCAAATGACGCCGACATCACGAGCTTCAAATTTAGGCATCAAATAGCGCGATAACGGTTGCCATTGCCGGTTACGTTCTCACGTGCATCATTTTTGACGAAGTATGCACCGATGATTCCGGCGGCTCACAAACAACATCAAACTGTTGTTTTATTTCTGGGTGAAATGGCAGTCCCGAATGCGGACATTTTGCTTGTTTACATACCCAATGAGCCAGAAATAAGACTCACCGCTAAAGAAAATTCGGCCCGAAAACGTCGGTTCTTTTTTGAACTTTTCAAGAGCAAATAGAGCGAAGCAATGCTACTTGGGAAGATCGGGCGGCTTAAGTTCTTGCAAAGGCTCTATTTTCTACGCTTTCAATTTAAGATCTTGACGTAAAATGCGCTAAGTCGTTCCATACGTCAGTTCGAGTTGCTACAAAAGGCGTTGAATCGACTCTCCATAATGAAGGCAGGGTCTCAAGATGGGTGATGGTTTTGCTAATAGTACGCTCAGTAGACCATAAGTTGTACGAAATGCGCACATTTTTTACAGAACTTTCGTTATGTAGTAAAGTTGAATGATTTGTAAACGTTGTTCAGGTGCAAGTCTATGCATGGCAGCTAGATAAGACTCACGCGTGATCTGTCAAAAAAGGGCTATTGAAAAAGAACCACCCAAAAGGTTTTGCTGAATGGTTTTTCCACACATAGAGAAAGAAAATGTATAATTTTTTTGGAACTCAAGACATATAAAGCCGAAGTTGACCCATTCAACTTCAGAACTGCCAGCGAAATAGAAACACAACTTTCACAAGAGTTCTTTTCTATGGAGCGTTACGACTGTACTAAGGCATCGCAGTAGATGTTTTGTGTTGGACTATATTATACATATGTACAAGTGACAAAAGACATAGCCTATTTCTCGATCTTTCATAGGATACACTCAGACTTGATGATAACCTTATTTTAATGAGACCAGATATAAAGCGGAACATACGCTGAGAGCGGATGGATGTATGGACGTATCCTTCGCTTCATTAATGGATTTAGCGATTAGCGGGCTTCAATTCAATGTAGTTTCCTTAACAGAAAAATTAAGTGTGAAATCTGAAAAATAATACGAATAAATTCAAAGTAAAAAATAAATTGGAAGGCACAAAAATTTTTTTGTTTTGAAGAATTAGAGTAGTTTGGCGATATAAATTTCGTAATGAAAAGGCTTAACAGGTAATACTCAAAGTATTGCTTATAAAAGCTGTTATATTTAACGACTTTCGATGGAATAATATTAGTTCTCTTATAAGTTTTTAAACTTTACATTTTCACCTGCCCTTAAATAGCTGAAAACACATTAGGGGGCTTGATATTACCTCCGCATAGGCGATAACTTTGAGAGACAAATTTTCATAAAGCTAATCACTTTCAAATCAAATTGACTTTCGGTACAAATATTCATAACTAATTCTTTGTTTCTCTGTTTGCAGGAGTCTCGTGGCAAGAGACCCCTTAAAATTTGGGATAGTTGGCGAAATGTGCGCAAAGGCGTAGTTGTTGGAACATTCGAGGAACTATTAGTTAGAGGTAAGTCTGGTTTTTGTTAAGAAATCTTTCTAACAATAATAACAATTGCGATTATTAATAGGAAAAGATAAATTAGGGGTTCCTGCCTCAGAACCGGTGCGTCTTGTTCTGGAGTGCGATGGAACCCAAATTGAGGATGGCGAATATTTTCGTACATTGACGAACAACACGGTGCTACTATTGTTAAGGCAGGGCGAACGCTGGTATCCAACTGGTGTTGATGTTATAAAAGCTGGTAGGTTATTGAATTCACAAACAATAAAATACACAAAAGTAAACATTTTATTAACGGTGTTGCAGCGATATCAGCTATACCCAAGATCGTCTGTGAGACGATTCATGCGCTCGACTTACACGATGAGACGCCATCTTGGAAGATTATGGATAATAAGGGTCGTGTCACGGTGGTCCTGCATTGGGACCAGCGTCAGGGAGGTGGAGGCAGTGGAGGAGGAGGAGGCGGCGGCGGCGGAGGAGGTGGAGGCGGTGTCGGCGGCGTTGGTGGCATGGGACCGAGCGGTAGTGGTGTCAGCGGCAGTAACGGACTCATGTCATCGGACAAATATTCACCATCGAAGAAAGGTTTATCGGCGCAAAGTTCGCTCGATACCAAATCGGTGTCGTCACAATCGTCACAGCAACGCTATGCCAGCCCACAAATAACCGTCATCAGTGATGAGGGACCGGCTAGCATATACCATCCGGGCGGTGTGGTGCTGCCACCCGGCGTTGTAATACCCGGCACCAGCAGACGCCTATCTAAACAGGGCAGCTCATTTGATAGCGCCGTGGGGGCGGTGCATGTGCATACACCGGAATGTGCGCATCATGCGCATACGCCCAGTCGGGCGGGCAGTCCCAGCACCACGGAATGCGATTTTCATTGTTGTGCGCTGCACGAGGAGGGACGCAAAATTGCGGTGCACAAAAGTGTGGCCACATCGCCCATACAGGACGGCACCACAAGTCCCCAGCCGCAGCAACAACAAGCGACGCTATCTATGTCATCGGTTGTGGATCCTATGATGGGCGGCAGCATGCAACGACGCTCATCGGGCGTCAAAGGCCATGTACGCTTTCTGGATATAGCGCCGGAGCGTGATAGCTCCGAGAGCGAAACAGAAAACACCGTCATGGAGGATGATAAGACGACGACTGAAAAATTCCTGCTGCTCATCGATCAGCTGTCTGTCGATCAGAAACGACATCTCAGCATCAAAGATATCGGCATCATATTGGAGCGACTCAACTCGAAAATACTCGACGTGGAGCGGCTGGATCGCGAATCGGAATCGGACGATTGCTATAATTGGACGATAAAGGCGACAATACGCGGTGATGCGCTGCGCGAGCTGGGCGTCATCTACAATGGTAACTACTACGCCATATCCGAACATCCCGGCTACAAGGAGGAGGTCGAAGAGAATGGCGAAGAGGTGGAGGAGGARGATGAAGAGGATAGAATATAGAAATGCAATTAATTAAATTTAAAGAAACAACAAAAACCAAATGAGCAGTTTAAGCATTAAAACAGAACTCACTCACACACACACACACCAACGCATTTACAAGCAAAAATATTATAAAAAATAAACTAAAGAATCAGCTAACAAAACGAAATGTGTAATAACAAGGAATGTGTGAGTGCAAATACTGATTAAAAGACATAAGAAGGTTAAAGGAAATTAAAAAAAAAAGAAAGTGAATAAATAAGCTAAAGCATACGTTTAAGTAAAGTATAGTGAAACAATTTTAGTAAATTGTAGTAAATTAAATAAGAAGAAGAAGAAGCAGGTGAAGAAGAATAAGTAATAAACAATAGTAGTTAAAGGGCCAATGCAACATGGCGAAAACAGGCAAGTGACAGAAAATTAAAACACACGCACATACACATACAAGAAAACATCATACACATGCATGCGAACAGGCATGACACATAATTGTAAGCATTAATAATGAGAACATAAAAATACCAGAATGCAATTCAATAGCGTTTAAGTAATAGTTAAAGCAAGAAGTAAGCAACAATTAAATGAAACCAACAAAAAATTAAATAAATTAAACAAAATTGAGCAAAACCCAGACTTGGCGCTAAACCGAACCCCAAAAAAGAAGAAACTAAAAAAATTATTTCACACAAACATTTGTAGGTTAATAAAGCTGTTGATAGCGCGTAGTAGGTAGCAAATACACAGTGCGACATTTGCATAGCCAAACCAAGTATGTACCGGAAAGCGCCAAACACGCATTACACATTAACGCAGAAATATGACACAAAAATAACAAATAAATAAATGAAATAAAACAAAGAAAATAATAATAAATTACAAAAAAGTTAAAAATTGCAAGAAATCGCAGAAAAATTAATCAATCAATCGTTTTTACATACACGCACATAAATACACACTCACATACATGTAGACTTCAGCAGACATTAACTATTTATGAAAATAAACGTTTTTTTTTTATTAACCGTTAAACCTTAGACACACACTTCATATTATATAAAATATTTATATAAGTCAGTTATACAAAAACAGCAACTCATTTACCTTCTATGTGAACCAATGGAATTATTTAAATCAAAAATACAACAGTTAAGTTGCTCTCAAACAAATCTCAATGCAAACAAATGTGATCTTACTCAATCTAACAACTCATTTACGTATTTATGTCTACTTATATATGCAACGGTGCTTATAGTGCACATATAAAATAACGGTTTATATGTTTAAATAATTTGTATTGAATATTTATGCATAAATACTACATAACACATACAAAATACAGTGATGGGCATTGAAATAGAACAGATATAAATACTTATAAAAAGTCTCGAAATAATTAATTTTTTTAAATTTATTTTTTGCTTGATTTTGAAAATTAAATTAAATTAAAAAATAAAAATTAA